GTTATGATACATCTGGGAAAGTAATGCAAATGTCAAATTATACTGCTTACAGAAAGATCAAGAAAGTTAAGGAGGGGAAGTGACTATCTGGTTTAGCATGCAGGTAATTGATAGGAGAGTACATTAACTGAAGAGTATAACATTTAATACCTAAAAATTTCATTTTGAGTAAAGGAAAGAAAATATTTAATTTACATATGTCATTAAAGTAGCTCATCTAGGAAAGTAATAGGAGGTAAAAGTGGTAATTATAAGGGAATGTGGCCAAGAAAGGCTCTTTTAATGTAGATTCTTAGATATGTTTCATTACTAAAGAAAAAGGGAAAAAAGAATGAGATGTTGAAGAGTGGGAAAAAGAGGAATGACTGAAAGAAAAAGTAGCACAGATCAAAGAACGGGTTTTAGGATGGGAAAACCCACTGTAATTGAGACAAAAACAATGAAAAGATGGCTAAAATGCACAGAAATGTCAAAATTCTTGACTGATGATTTTTAATTTTGCAGATACACTGGAGACAACATCACTTGCTGAGTATGAGAAGGAAGGTGTAGAAGAAAGAGATTTGAAGGCATGATGGGAATACTGGAAATAAGAAGTGAGTTCAACTCCACATGGAAAGAGTGTCTGGTGAAGTAGAAGAATTTTTAAGGAGGACCTGTCAGCATAATTAAGTGGAGGTACATTGATTGATTGATTGCCAGCAATGCTCAGTAGCTTGATTGTAGGACCTCAAAACTCAAAGGGTGAATTGACTGAATAAAATTGCAAAACTAAATTGATGAAATAACACAGGAAAGAAGTATAATACAAGGGTCAAAGGGCTAGACTATGATGATCTGAAATCGGCAAGGAAGAAAAAAGTATCTCAACATTGTAGGAAACAATGAACATACTAACACTAAAACTGTGAGAGAACTGTCAAGTAGAAGATTGCTGTCAGAGACAGAAATCTGGAATTTTGACAAGCTCTTCTTCCCCAAAATAACTCCTCCACTGGCCGGCAACACAACCTGAAATTTTACCCTATTATGCTTATCTTTGGGAGGCCTGTTATAATAAAAATTCAAGTATGAAATATACCACACTAAGTGCCCTGGAGAGATAAAAAAATAATCAACACATGGCAAGTATCCATTCTCTTTATAATAGTTAACAAATAACTAAGGCATATTGCCAGTAGGTATTCTAAGCAAAATATGGGGAGGAAATAAGGTTTAGAAGAAATATAATTTTCTAAATATAATACTTCATAATGAAATAGACAAACTTATTGGTCATTAGGAATAAATAGCAAGCAATAGTTAGCATTAAGAATAAATAGTAAGCATACAAATGATCATAATTTGTATTATACTTATGTAGTTATCTAAAACCTGTTAACATCTTCTATCAAGTTGTATATCGTGCTTGACTCATACATCCTCATACATTTGCATAAGTGCATGCTCATACCCATTGCCAAGTTTTAAATGCCAGAATGTAGGATACTACTCTAACAGTCATTTTCTGATGTTCTACCATTTCTTTTGCCCTCTCTGCTCCTTCCCTCAGTACTCTAAGGCTAAGATTTTGGATATCTTATAGTAAGAGAAAAAGCGTGAAGAATAATCAGGAAATCAACTGAATAGGTTCAGATAAGAGCAGGATTCAGAACCTAGGCTACAACAAGCAGATATTCCACCAAATTATCTTAGTCAGAAAATCTCATCTTCAGGTATGATCTCCTCAACCTTCTCATTCTCTAAGGC